GAATTGCCAGATCAATAGAATTTCTTGTTTTAGTTTTTTGAGGAATCCCCATACTGATTTCAGTAGTGGTTGTACTAGTTTACACTTCCACTAACAATGAAGGAAATTCCTTTTTCCCCATAGCCTCTCCAGAATTTGATTTCTTGATGATGGTCATTATTTCTGGGAAGACAGAATCTCAGTGTTGTTTCACTTTGCATTTCTCAAATGGTCAGTGATGTTGAACATTTTTTTCATGTAGTTGTTGGCCATTTGTACTTCTTAATCTGAAAAGTACCTCTTCATTTCAGATGCCTATTTTTTATTAGGTCTTTAAATTTGGGGGGGTCTAATTTTTAAAATTTCTTTAGATATTCTAGATATTGTCTGAGGAATAGGAAGCAAAAATGTTTTCCCATTCTGTAGATTGTCGCTTCACTCTGTTGGTGGTTTTCTCCTGCTATGTAGAAGCTTTGTAATTTGATGTGATCCCATTTGTTGATTTTGGGTAATTATATCTTGTGGAACCAGGGTTGTGTTCAGAAGGTCTTGCCTACACCTTGTCTTCAACTGTTTTACCTATTTTTTTTTCACTTTTTTTATTTCTGATTTCATGGATTTTGGTCTTTCCTTATTTTGGTAAGATTGGCTAAGGGTTTGTCTGTTTTGCTTATTCTTTCAAAGAACTAAATCTTGGATTCATTGATTCTTTGTATTGTTTTTTAGTCTTAATTTCATTAATTACTGTTCTAAATCTTTATAATTTCTTTCCTTATACTAGCTTTTGATTTTTTTATTCTTATTTTTCTAAGACCTTGAGGTGCATCATTATTTATTTGAACTCACTCTGTTTTTGTGATGTGGGAATTCACCACTATAAGCTTTCTTAGAGTGGCTTTCTTTCTTTTCTTTTTTTTTTTTTCCTCTCTTCCAGTACTGGGGATCAAACTCAGGACCTTGCACTTACAATGCGGTTATGGTGGCACTGAGCTAAATCCCAGCTCCAGGATGGCTTTCATTGAGTCTCACAGGTTACAGTATGTCATACTGGCATTATTGTTTGATTGCCAGAACTGTCTAATTTCTTCCTTAATTTCATCTGTGACCCATTGATATTCAAGAGGGCATTGTTTAATATTGATGTGTTTACATAGTTTTGTGGTTTCTTTTGCCATCAATTTCTAGTTTCATTGCACTATGATTTGATAACATTTGTAGAATAATTTCATTATTTTGCATTTACTTAAGCAAATTTTAAGGGCTCTATGTGGCCTATTTATAACTAATCTTTTATTTTGTGTTCTTTCTTATGTATCTATACTGGTCTTTTCCCTTTCCCTTCCTATCTTCCTTTAGTCAACCCTCCCTGCCTTTCCTTAAGGGAAGGAAATCCCTACTAAGGGATTCACCTAAAAATTACAACAACGGTAGTAAAAGCATTGTGCTTGCTATTTCCTCTATTTCTATACATATGTACTCTTTCTTCTTTCTAAATTAATGTCTGAACAAAGAAGTAAAAGCATCAAGTAAATATATGAAAAAATGTTCAACATCACTGGTCATTTGAGAGATGCAGATGAAAACAACACTGAGATTCCACCTCACCCCACAAAGAATAGCTGCTATCAAGAAATCAATCAATAACAAATTTTGGCAGGATTGTGGGGAGAAAGGAACCCTTCTCCATTGTCAGTGGGAGTGCAGACTGGCACAACCTCTATAGAAATCAATATGGAGATACCTCAAAGAACTAGGATTAGAGTTTCCATTTGATCCAGCCATCCCTCTGCTGGGTATCTTTCCAAAAGAATTAAAAGAATCATACCACAATGATATATGTACACCCATGTTTTACAGTTTGTAATGGCTAAAACTTGGAAACAGCCTAATTGACCATCAGTTGGAGACTGGATAAAGAAGATGCGGTTTTTCTATAAAATGAAATACTACTCAGCCATAAAAAGTGAGAAATTAGAGTAATTCATAGGGAAATGGATACATATTGAGAATATACTCCTAAGTGAAATAAGTCACACATGTGTAAATACCAAATAATTTCTCTGATGTGAACAAACTATAATGGTAGATAAGATCCTAATGATATAATTGACAATGTGAAATATGAAGAAAAGGGATAAAGGTGTAGGGAAAGTGGGAAGGGTAGGGGAAAGATAATATGGGAAAAGAAGACATCAGAAAATGAAAAAATAGAAATAAAGTGCACTTGTAAATAAGCAAGGGAGGAGGGGGTGAAGGGAGGGCAGGGATAAGGGGAAAAAATGAGAACCAAGACCTGTCATGTAAAGGTACAAGATCCCAATGATGAATGTAACTGTACTGTATACCTAAAATGTACCAATAAACTCAATGAGAAAAAAATAAAATAAATTAGTGTCTGAAGCTCCTTTATTCTCCTTCATATGTATTTTATTCAACTTTTCCAGGAATCGGGATTTTTTTTTCACTAGTGATACCTATATTTTTATATTCTGATTCATTATTTTTTGCTTGCATTTTTATAAATTGTTTTCTTCTATTTAGGAAGATTTTACTATTTCTTTTTCCAGGTTGTTGATTTAAAAGAGCTTTATTACATTTCAGCCATTGCCATTGGCAATTTTTTTTTCAAGGTACTGTGGATTGCACCTGTGGAGTACTGGACTCCAACTCTTTTCACCTTTTAAATTTTGAGACAGAATCTTGCTGAGTTGCCCAGGCTGGCCTTAAACATGTGATCCTCCTGCCTCAGCCTCCTGAGTGGGTAAGACTACAGGTGTACCCCATTAAGCTCACACTTTTTCTATATTTAATAAATGTATTTTGGCCACATGCATATCTTCCCGTGATCTGCTTTACAGCATCCACAGTGTCAATATGCGGGGCTCATATTGTTCATTTCCAAATCACTTGATTGTGCATTTTGATTTTATAGTAAGCTCAAAATTATTTAGAGCAATGGTGAGAAAATTACATGTTTATATATTTTTTTAAGAATGCACTCCCCACCTTCTCTTCCCTCCCTCCCTTCCTTTGTTCCTTCACTTTTTTCTTTCTGTTATTTAGGTCACTCAAGACCCACTTAACTTTTATAAGAAGATTTCCTTTTGCCGCAGTTGCCAGCTGCATCTGCCTTCTACAGAATTTGCTGTTTCATCTGGTCCACTCCACGTTTTCATGTGTCCTCACTGCATTAACCTTGACGATGAGGCGCAAGGACAAGAATCATTTCTGAAGTATAAATGTTTACTTCAGAGACTCTACTCTTCCGAAGCCAATTGTGATGATGGCGTTCAAATTGCTTTCTTGATGCAGCTCCAGAATATTCGATACCTGATAGAGAACATCTGGGCACCCGAGTCTGTACTCAGTGCCTGGGACGATCTCAATGACCTGATCAAGGTCAGATGGGATAAGTTCTTGGAGTGGTTCCCCCGGGATTGCAGTCTTCCCACCAAAGACAAAGCAGCTGCTTATCTCAAGCTGGAAAGTACTGAAAAGGGATATGGACGTGTATTTATCCACAAACTCAAACACAAACATATTCTGGCTAAGAACTATTTTTGTCAGATTCCAGTGCTTGTGTCATTTATACTTGATGATGGTGAAAGAGGAAAGATTAGAAGCAAATATCACACAGATACAGCACCAAAAAATTATAGAAGTCAAGAGACTTTGTCCTTAGAGGATACAGAGATATTTGTCTGATGATGAGAATTTTTGTCCACTGCTAATAGAGTAATACAAAGGTCATATGATATGGAAATAAAATTTTTCTTTGTTTTTTATAGTATTATAAGTTATATGAAGAGAAAACATCCCTATATGAGTATTTGATTGTTAGGCAGTTAGTATTAAATTGAGTTGCAATATTGCTACTGAAATTAACAGTTAAAAGTAAATAGAACATTTAATTTTTACACATTTTCCACAAAAATTTTTTAAAACATTAAATGTTTTAATTAGAACAACCAAAAAAACCTAGACCTAACTTTCAACATAATTTATTTAAATAAACTATAACTGTAGGAGAGTAGTTAGTATATGAATGGGAGGAAATATAGAATTCTGTCTTGAAAATCTTTTTAAGTAGGTTAAAAGATTGTATTTTGATACAAGAATTTTAATATTTGCCTTTTATTCTCCTTTCATCTTTAACCCTTATATATCAATAAAACAACTGAAACTATTAAAAAAAGAATGCAGTTTTGTGGTCATTTCTGTTTTATCATGATAAGAGAATTGCTCCTGTTTTGGATCAGTTGAGGTCTTATTTATGTGCAAACACTTTGTTCATATTTGTTAATAATTCCACACGCATGCTGGGGGTGGTGGCACCTGCTTGTAATCCCAGCAGCTGGGAATGTGGAGGTAGGAGGATCATATATTTGAGCCCAGCGCATAAAATCTTGTAGCCTTAGATTCAAATTTTTAAAAATAAAAATAAAAAGGTCTAAGGATGTAGCTTAGTGGGACAGCCCTATGTTCAATTGCTAGTACCACAGGAATAAGCATAATAATCCCGGAAGCATCCATGAAATCCTAATCATGTCACCACTCCCATTCTTGCTTGCTGATTCTATTAATGTTGATGTTTCTCTTCCATGGTCCCTGTTGTCCTCCTGCACTTGGTCACTGGGTATTCGTGGCATTTGTAACCCATAAATGTGGCTTCTGGACTGTGATGAGTGCAGCAGATGCCACATATTTCATTTAAGGTTTCTGAAGCACTCAACAAATTGGGGTGGTTCAGTTCTATGGGGCGTTGTTCCCTGAACAATCCTAATCTTCATTTGAGGCTCAGAGAATAGAATAACTTGTCCAAGCTCACACAATTGTAAGTGACAAAGCCAGGCTCCTCACAAGACCAGCAGGCCTAAAGCCTATTAGTTCTCATGACGTCACTTCATGCTCAAATCTTCTTTCTACCAAGCAGGCCACTCCCTGGTCCAAACCACCAGTAACCAGACAGTACATAGGTATGTTCTTTTTACTCTAAGAAAAAGTTGACAATAATAGCTGCACACTGTACAAATTATCATGGATTTTATTCTCCCCACCCCTATAAATCTCACAATACATTCCTTAGACACCATCATTTTCATTCCCCTAGTTGAGGGCAAGGATTTGGCTCAGTGGTTCCACCGCCTGCCTCGCAAGCGCAAGGTCCTGAGTTTGATCCTCAGTACCAAAAAAACAACAAAAATATGCTAGTTGAAAGTCCCCCAGAAAGGAGGATTCTTAATACTTGATCTTAGCATTTCAAGGCATTGAGTAAATAAATTACAGTGAGGGAAGCGCTTAGCTGGCTCAGCTCAGCTCTATTTCACAGACCCAGAGGTAGGGCCTCAGGCAGGCATTATCATTCCAGTGACCATCAAAGGTGAAGTGGGCACAGTCCTCGCCTCCTCCCAGCCCATGCCCATACCAGTCATCTGGCTGCTCTGGACTCCAGTTCCTGTAGAGAAGAGAAATGACAAGGAAGTCACTCTCAGTCCCATCCCCAGAAGCCTCTCTGAAAACAGGGCCAAAGGCTGGGGAGAGGAACAATCCCAGACACAGGACACAGAGCTTCAGGCACACTCACGTAAAACCTCTGTCAAGGTCAGACCCATCCACCCATTTCCAGGGCCCACTCTTGTCAGTTAGGCCTATCCAGGTGTTCCTCTGTCTCGTGTTGCCCTCAATAAATCTCTGGAGAAAGAAGAAGAAGATGGTGACCTCTCCCTTAGACCAACCAGCCTTGGATAAAAGACTGGTGAGTCCTCACCTGCTCCTCCAAGGAGTTCACTATCACCAGGTGGGCATTTTCCATCTGGCAGGACTTGTTAGCCTCAAGCCAGGATTTCTTTAATTGAGAAAACCAGTAGCAGCTGCCTTCATGCTCCATCCAGTTAAGAGGGCAGCAGGTCTTAGAGCCTAGGCAGGAAGAGGGGAGGATGAAGGAGTTGAGGTGATGCTCAGTGGGCCATCAACTCCAAAGAGAGGCCAGCCACACCCTTACCCCGCCTCACCATTGTTCTTGAGCTCAGCCAGTTGACAAGACAGGGCCCGGAGCTCTTTTACCAGCTTCTGAACTTGTGTGAGCATTTGAGACTGATCTGAGACAAACAGATATGAGTGGGAACCATGCTTTATGTGTGGCCTTACTCAGTGAGCTCCTGCCCCTCAGGTACCTTGCACGGGACACAGCCCAGAAATCCTGTTCTCCCACAAATACCATACCCAAATGCAGGGGAACAGCCATCTGACCTGCTTTGAACTCCTGCTCTTTTTTCTGCAGAGTGCCCTCCAGAGAATTCACCTTATCCTTCAAGCTACGTCCTAGAAAGGAGGGGGCTCAGCACCAGGAAGTTGCATGCCCACCCATGCACTACGGAAACAAGGGTCTCTCACCTGCCTGCAGTTCCTCCCTGTGATCCTCCACTTCTGCTTTCAGAGAATTTATAGTTTCTTGCAATGTACCATCTGGAGGACAAAGGGAATCAAGATCAGGAGGCAGCTCCCCCACCCCGGACCCTGCCCTGCCCCGCCTGTCATCCAGACCCACCTCATCCCAGTGTGTCCTTCAAATTTGACTCACAGTTGGAAGTCAGTCGCTGGATGTCAGCTGCATGGTCTGAAGTGAAGTTGCTGAAATTTGTATTCAAGGTAACCAGGTCTTTCTGTAAGTTATAACCTGATGAAACGGAGGCGTGATCAGAGAGATTTATCAGGTCCTCACTTTATACACAGCCTCATTTGGTCCTTACAATGACCCAGTGGGGATGGGCCAGGTCCTGTTGTTAATCCAGAATTGCACACAAAGACACTAACTAAGGCTTAGGAGGTGCTGTCATTAGATAACATGGCCCAACTAAGAAGTGACATGACCACCAGCCATCCAAATCATGGGTCCTTCACTATTTCCTCCACTATCCCCACCTCTGTTCTTATCAACTGTCTCATTACAGCCCCTCTGGCTGCTAAACTGCTAATAGCAGTGCCACTGTCATCTTGTCCCATAACGACCCACTGTGCCCATCACTGCTCCTGTCATGGTTCTCACCACCACCCTAGCACTGCCTCCCAACTGCACTCCCATGATTTCTCCCTTCTTGCCCACCTCGGCACCCACCTTGGTGTCCAATCACACAGACAACCACCAGCAGCAGGAAACTAAGTCCCAAGGAGATCAAGATGAGGTATGGCCCATAGTACAAATTCCCCAGTATTCTCTGGAGAGGTAGGGCTGAGAGAGAAGAGAGGATCATTTTAAGGAGCATCCAGGATGTGACAAAGACAGGAGGAAAAGAGAGCCCAAGGACCCATTTAGGGTTAAAGGCTGAGCCTTGGTATTGCTGGGATTAGTGCTGGATGAGGAGATTTGGGGGGAGGCAGATGACCAGCCCTCTGACCCCTCCTGGACTAGCACAAGTCCTCAGTCACACAGATCTCTCACACCCCTGGAGACTTATGTGCCCACCCCTGGAAACCCATATACATATAAATATACAGAGACAAGGACAGTTAGTGATACCTGAGATCCTATCATCAGAGCTTGGGGAGGCAGCACAAGGTAAGAGATAGTTGGGGAAAGACAAGTCCTTAGCAGGTTCACACACAGCTGTATGACTGGGCTTGCAAGTTAATGAATTTTCCTTCCAAACCCAACTGTGCAATGCACACCTCTCATCCCCTCCCCACAGAGCTCTGGAAAGCAGGCCAATGGAGATCTTCTGTGTCTCTATTTGTCTGAGGACCTTAAACCCTCTTCGCAATGGGCCTTCAGAGGAACTGACCCGCTCAGCATTAAGGACCAACATTGTAGACAGTAGCAGAGCAGATAGGACATAACAGCAGATATCCTACCAGAAATATTAACAGCAAACTTTAGAAGAGACTGTTTCCTCCTTCCTCTTACCTTTTTTAATCCCTGGGTTTTTCTCCTCACTCCCCAAGTGCTGTAAATTTTCATACTTCATGTCCATTCTTGGAAAAATTAAGAGAGCAGAGTGCAGGGTGAGGCAGAACTGGAGCCAAAGAGCAGGCTAGCAGAGTGTAGCTGAGGTCAGAGTGGACTAAGGTTCTCATTGAGAATGGGCTCTGAACTAGGACTATGATCAAAATATGCTGGTGTTTGCAGATGAAGGTAGAAATGGGGTCAGGTTTGGACTGTGGGCTGGAGTTGAGTTGAGTAAACTTGGAACTAAATTTATTGGTAGACCTGAATCTAAAATTGGGCTGGAGCTGGAGTTGTATTGCATGTAGGATTGGCATCGGCATTCACGGTAGGTCATGGATGGAGTCAAGCCTAAGCTTGGCACAGAAACTGGAGGTAGAAGAGCATCGAGGTGTGATTTGGGGTTGAGGCTGGTGTGGAGATTCAAGTTGATGCTGAGGTCGGATTAAAGAAAGGGTTGAGGTTGGGTTAAAGAAGGAGCTGAGGTTAGAATTGGGCTTAGGGCTGTGGCTACCATTGGGGTTGAAGATCAGACTAGAATTGGGCCAGAGGTGTGCCTGAGTTTGAGTATGAGTTTGTGACTGAGGAACATGACCACCACAACTCAATCTAGAATATATGAAAGGCAACAAAGTCTCAAGTTCTCCACTTGGTAAATTAATTTCCACTTTGCCCCCTTATATTTCTTCCAATTACTCCCACCCAAGACCCCAAAAGTCTCCCTCTCCCTGCTTCTTCTGACACATTTCCCTGTTCCCTTCATCTCAATGGCCCCACCAACCCAGTTACCTGTGGAAAGTGTAAAGGCTGTGACTCTTGGCTTTGTTGTGCAGGCAGGAATGACCCGACGTGGGAAGTGAAGAACTAAATCCTGCAGAGTTGAGGTGGAAAGGACCAAAGGAGGAGCCACAATGTATGACCCAGTGCTGCTGATCTGTGTGTATGAAAAGCAAAAGTCTGTAGCATAGGACATCCCTTTTCCTCAACTTGGCACAGTAAATAATGCGAATAGATTGTAACTGGAACACACGACATGTAACTGTCAACCCCCTGGGTGTGTCCTCCCTTTCCTCTTTCTTGAAGTTCCCCTGGCTTCCTCATTTTACCATGTGAGAGGGGAGCTGTACCAAAGGGAAAGTCTGTTTTTCTCCTATGCCTTATATCTCCATTCACCTTTTACCTGAATTTTCCAGAATTATTGGTGTTGGCATCCTTGACTCCTAGCCCCAGACGAGGCTTAATGCACAATCCTTGCCTGACTCCCTGACATCTGAGCAGCCTCTGAGGCCTCAGACATCAAGCTCCCCAGCTGGAGATTCACTCTTGTCACTCGAGTCAGGAGGAAAAAGAGCATTGGAGACTAACATGTTCTGGGAAGGTTAAGTCAATAAAAGGCACAAACTTTTACTGAACATCAAATTTTTGAGGGGAATTGTTCCAGGTATTTTCTTTAAATAGCCAATTGATTCTCATAAGCACCTCGGGAGGCATTTCAGATGATGCAAAGGAGATAACCAGGAGTCAAACCCACTGCTGGCCTGGGTCTCTGCACACCTACTGTCTTCACAAACTAGATTCTAGGTCATACTGTGGCCCTGCCAGTTCACTCAGGACGCCCTCGGTCCACATGCACATCCCTTTCAAGGGGAAGAAACCCAAGTGTGGAGACAAATGTAAAATAAATACATTGTAGAACTTTTTATATATACATGGAAATGTGTTCATCTACTTGCTTTTCTAAAATTTGAACTAAAAATATATCAAGACCATTTCTCCATTGAGTTCATGAAAGTTAATGTTCATGTCATCGTTTATCCTGTCATTTATTTATTAAGCATTTCCCTACGGTAAGCATGTAGGTTGTCTCCAGTTTGGTTTTGTTTTCTGGCTTTGTTTTAGTTGTTTGATAGTTTGATTATTCTGTTGTCTGAGTCACCTTCTCATCACAGACATCACAGACATAGGAGAATGTCTGATGTCAATGAGGAGACACAATACCTGACATCCACAGCTTTTGCTCACATTTTCAGCCCATCATCGTCTGGCTCCAAGGTAGAAACAGCATGGTGGAAAGGCCAGGGTAGAGGAAAGCTGTTCCCCACATGGAGGCCAAGAAGTAGAGAAAGAAGAGAGGAGCCAGGAAGAGAACTATACCCTTCTAGCTCATGCCCCCAATGATTTGCCTCCAACTAGGCCCTACCTTTAACAGCAAGATAGCAACAGCACCTCCCATGATCCAGTCACTTCCAGAAGGCCCCACTTCTGAGCACATGAGAGTTTTAAACTTCATTCCTGATCTAATCCACAGCATAAATATTGCAGGCTGGTGCTACAGTTTGGATCTAGAATATTCTCAAATGACCCATCTGTTAGATGTTTAGCTCCCCACAGGTCACTACTAGGAGATGGTGGACTCTTTAAGAGGTGGGACCTAAACCCAGTATAGGGGCACATTCCTGTAATCCTGGCTATGGAGGATGCTGAAGCAGGAGGATTGCAAGTTTGAGGCCGGCCTGGGCTATATAGCATATTTAAAGCTGACTTGTACTACATGGTGCGGTCCTGTCTCAGAAAAATAAAATAATTTTAAAAGGCTGGGGATGTAGCTCGGTGATAGAATGATTGCCTAGCATGTGAGGCCTTCAGTTCAATCTCTAGCAAAAAAGAAAGAAAGAAGAAAGGAAGGGAGGAGGACGGAGCAGGGAGGGAGGAGGAAGGGAGAAAGGAAGGCAGGCAGGCAGGTCTGGGATTTAATGGGATGTTTTAGAGGGCCATGCCCTCTAAGTGGATTGTGGGACCTGAACTCCTTTCTCTTTCACTTCCTGGCTATGAAGGAATAGGTTTTGCTCTATTAACACCCTCCTATGAGGCACTGCTCACCACAGGCCCAAAACATTTGAGTCAATCAATCATGGGCTGAAACCTCTAAAACTGTGAGCCAAAGTAAACCTTTTCTCTTTTTAAGTTGTCTTATCTGTTGTAGTGATGGTAAGCTAACATGTTAGTTTCTGGAAGCTAATGCTGAAATTGTGTTTGGGTTGTGAGCTAATTATTAGGATCAACACCTAGGAAAGCATGGGGAAATAAGTAAAGCTGGGTACAGGGATACCAAACATGACATTAGCCAGCTCCATGGGGAGTTTTGGAAGTTTTAACAGTGTCACCACGGTAATGTCCCAGCTGGCATGGGAGCCCTAACTGCTCAGGGTGGCCTCACCAATGACATGACTTCAGTGGAAGTCACTTTCTGCCGATTGCCCTCTCTTCACTGGGTCACCAAGCCCTTCCTGGGAGAATGTTTGATGTCAGTGAGGATCATCTGTTTGCCGAAAATGCCAGATATTTCATTTTTAAGAGAAGTAGAGAGGATGGCATAAGCTGAGTCATATCAGAAAATGAGGAATCATTTCTTTTTCTTTTTCTTTTTTGACTAAAGACATTTTAATAGAAAACAAAACGCAAAATAACTTTGTGGAAAACAGAAATATTTAATGTTTTCCTCATCCGTTAGAACGTGCTTTATCCTCAGGGCACAGTTTGACACGTGCACATGCACTCAGGATTCCCCTCATGATGCACTCACTGCAGGAGAGAGAGCAGAAACGCTAACCTCTGGTTAATAGTCACTCCAAAGCCTAACACTACTTCCATCTTGTGACTTACTCCAATGTTTTTTTTTCCCCTGTACTGGGAATCAAACTCAGAGAGTTGCGCTTGTCGGGCAGATGCTACATCCCTACCCCTCCAAATTATTCTTTACCATAATATTTTCTTATCTTTTTTGGTGTTTTGTTGTTTGTTTGCTTGTTTGTTTGGTGGTACTGGGGATTGAACCCAGGGGCTCCCACAGGCTAAGCAAATGCTCCAACACTAAGCTTCACCCCCTCCTATCATTATCTTTCCTTTCAGGAGAGAGAACTATTGATAGAAATGAAGCCAAGGAAGAATCTTCCCCACCACAACTGCAAGAGTCCAGTGATCTCAGTCAACCCAACCACCGACTCTTATAAACATGCTGTTTGGTGTGCTCAGTGTGCACTCAAGATTTCCCTTTACCCTGACACACTGTTACACCAAAATCTCTGATTTCCCTGAAGTTCAAAATTCCAGGTACCACAGCCAATGACAGGAATCAAATCTGAAGATAAAAGCAGAGATGTTCCCCTCTGCCAGTGTGAGGTTTCCTCTTTGCAATCATCATCATCATGATCATCTAACAACAATAATAAAAAATCCTGGTTCTACCATTCAGGAAAAGGATCATCCCTCCCTTTCCCAGTTCTGTCCCTACTCCCCTCCTCAAGCATGGCCCAACTGAGGGTGTCTAGGGGTCCTGTTGAGGGTACTTGACAACTGCCCTCAGTAAGCATGCTTGTCTCAGTATGACAAGATGCAAATGGGAAGGTGCTTGCACACAGGGTCCCAAGAGTCCTATGGATGTGCCACTGACCTCAGAGCATCCTGGTGCTCCTCTCCAGTCCAGGCAGCACTGAGCCATACCCCGGCCCTGACTGCATCCCATGACAATGAGGCTGCATTGGGAGAGGACACTTTCAGTCTGTCAGTAATTTTCTCTCTGTGCCTTATCCGTGCTGCAGCCAGAGGCCTCTCAACACAGCCCAGTCCATTCCAGCCAAGGTAAGAATTAGTGTTCCTGACTCTCCTGTGTGATCCCAGTTACAAGAAGCAGATTGCAGGCCATGAACTACACACTCAGGACAATGCTCATCTGCCCAGTATAGACATCCAGGAGCTCACTGGAGGAGCCATCTGCCTGAGCACTACAGCATATGTTCCAGAGGTCCCAGATGCACACTGAGCTGTCCATGGAGGCAGAGGCCACTAGGCCACTGTCAGGGCTGAAGGCAAGGCTGGTGA